AACTTTATTAATTATTAACACTGTGAATGTTTGGATTTGTTTTTATTAAAATTGGTGAAACAGTTGATTTCATTGTCTTTTCTGTTCTCTGCCTTCTGTCACATGATGGAGCTTTAATATTGTTGAATGCTAAACAAAGAATTTAGCACATTGCCTGGAGTAACCTCTGATCAAACTGAATTTTAAGTTCCTACTTATTACTGAGAAGCACTATTTATCCAATAAAAATATCATGCTATCAATGTTTTCACTAGACAGCTGTACATGTTTGATTTAATGAATGTTAGTATTTTTTACCTCAAATTGATTTTGATGGGATTTTTTTCTTTTTTATTTAAGTTCATCTAGCATATGCCTTAAAATAATACTAACTAAAATATAATTGTACAAATGTCTTATTAACAACGTTCTTTTATTGGTAATATTTCTTTTTGCTTTAATCAATTTTTAAGAACTTGAAATATATCTGTCACCAAAATGCCTCCTGTAAGATTTACATATATGTAATTGTGTAGCTTTCTTTTTCTCCCAATATCATGCTTCAAGTCTCCTGAATTTTATTTTCTTGGGATCCTGATCAAACTCAGTTTGTAATTTCTAACTGGTTGATTCAATTTCACTGTTAAAGCAAAGAGGGCTGGTAACAACTACAATTGTATTCTGACCTTAATTCTACAAATGAAGGACATTCAATTATGTGAACTGTGTATGTTAATATCAATGCCCACTTGAGTTGGTTCAGTCTTATCACATGACTATACTTAGTGATTTGACAGTAAAATTCTATTGATTTTATAATCTACCTGTTTGTGAAAGGATCACATCTTGCAGCTGGCTTCCAGTTGTAGTTATTGTGATGGGGCAAGATATGAGCAATGCAGTTAAATGTCTTTTTGTTATTGTGTAGTGCTGTGGGTGATCACAATGACTGGTTATAATCTAACCATTACTTTAACTACTAATGTTTAAGAAAATAGTGAAACTGACCTAATGTTTTCTGATTTTCAGGTCTTTTATCCAAATCAGATGGGAATTCTTTATGAATTGTCCATTTGAAAGTTGGAAGTATTTTCTTGCTCTTGCATAAGTGAAATCTCAGTTCTGAAAATTCTTATCTGATTTTTTAAATTTGTATATATTTTTGCTTTGTTGTGTATAGGATTTTGTGATTTAGACTTTATCACAGTTGTGATGTTAAACAAAGGCACATATCAATTTACTCAGTATCATTTTTTTTGAAAGAGAGAACCATATAATAATTGGCTTTCTTTTTTGTTCCTGTATTTTTAAACATTAACATTCAGGCTCTTTCTTTATCATTAAAATAAAAAAAAACTCTTCATTTCTTATTTATTTATGAGACACTTATTTGAGTTTCACTCTGAAAGCATAAATATCAATTTTTGTCTTTGCATTAGTTTTTCAGCTTCTTTAGGATAATAATTTGCCATTACAATCAATTATTACTTTTTAATTTTACTCTAAACTTTATTTATAGTCATCTTATAAGATTTAAATCTTGTTAGAACTCATTATTTTGGCTTTTTGATCTTGAACTCTTTTGAAGTGATTTATTGAATTGTCCTTGTTTAGTTTGTTTTCCTCATAAATTTTAAATAGAATTGTGTGCCAGAACAGTTTTTATACATTTGTATCTAGTCTAGCAATTTGAACAGGAAGGATCATCCTGAATTTTATTGGAATTATTTACTTAAAGTTGTTTAATTAGATATTTCTACATCTTATGTTTTATCAAAGTCATGTGCTGGTTCATACCTCTGCACAAAAGATTTATATTTTACTCTTTTTTCTTCAAGTAAAGCAAAACCTAATTAACATTACAGTTTGTACCAGGTTTTTCCACAAGTCCACTATTTTCTTTTTAAACAAATAACCTGCAACAAATTATTCTTATTTTTATGTTAACTTTAATTGCTAACAATGACAATTTTTCTTTTACTCTTATTAAAAATAAATAATATTTAGACAATTTTAAATATTTTCAAACTTATTTTATGTGTCACTTTTGCCAATATTCTTTATTGATCATCAGTGAATGTTTGTTCCTGTATTTTTTATATTTGACTAGTTTGCTTTAAATAAGTAATTTTGTAATTGTATTGTACTTATGAAATATCAAAAATTCTATGTTGCTCTGTATTTTCTTGTACATATCCAATTTTTCTTAAATACAAAACATGACACTCAATAACATTATATTTACTATTGAATAATTATGATTTCTATTTCTCCAGAAAATAATTTCTATATCTTCAGAAGAATCCACTACATGGAAATGAGCAATTCAGCCATTTCTATGTAGTGAACTCTTCTTGTAGTGTACAAAATTGCTATATATATATATATATATAGGATTAATACAAACATAAAATTTGTCACTTAGTGCTGAAGTTTTGTAGATGAACTCTTCTGTAATTTTTCAGTCCACTTGTCAGGATATATATATATATATATATATATATATATATACACACACACAGGGTGTAAATAAGTATTTGAAACCAAAAATAAAATAATTTTTTATTAATAAACCAAACAATAAGTAAAATAAGTATTTCTAAATGGATAAGCCACCATTACCAACACAAATTGGTAATCTTTTATGAAAACTTTGAATAGTATTTTCACATATTTCAGGTGTTAACAAATATGTTTAGTCTTCAATTAAATTCTTTAAGTTCTGAAGTGTTTTGGGTTTTCTATTGTCAACTGCATTCTTATTATGGCCTCAAAGCAAAAAAAGAAGAAAAACTAGAGATGTGATATCAAGGATTTTTGCTGCCCAAGTCAGTGGTCCTGCTCTTTCATCCGTCAATTTGGTAATTTTTTTTTTTATCCAAAACTCTTTGACAACATATGAGTAATGTACAGGTGCAACTTCCTGCTGAAAGATCATTGTTTATAAAAATCCTTCTGGAGAGATGTGTAAATAAAGCAATCGACCAACATGTTCAAATAGTTTTGCCTGTAATGTTTCTATTAATGGAAAAGGTCTGTAATCTCCAGATGACAATCCCATTCAGATATTTACCTTTGGGATTGAGTGACAGTTTTTAATTTTTTTGTGGATAAAAGCATATTTGTTAATAAAAAATTTCTTATCTGATTCTGCTTTTCATCTGTTTTTGATTTCAAATGTAGTCATTTTATTTTTATCCTGTGTGTGTGTGTGTGTGTGTGTGTATATATATATATATATATATATATATATATATATAGATAGATAGATATACACACATACATATTATCTCATTCAGATTAAAAATTTCTTATTGTACCTAATTGGTTAAAAACAGTTAATATTGTCATAGTGGCCAAATTACATTTCCTGTAGACTATCCACTTTTATTTTTGCACCTGTTGTCTTTATTATGCTCTCCTCTTAATCTTCATTTTTTTTTTTATTTTTTCAGAACCATGCCCAGTGCCTAGAATCACAAAGGAAGCGATCAGAATGATGGACATAGAGTCTCCCAACTATATGCGAAATCCTACTCCCCTCCAAAGCCAGCAAACACCCAGAACAATGGTCATTGAAGCACAATCACCTCCTCTTCCTGCGAGACCTCTGACCATAGAACCTCCTCGGTCATTGTCTATGGACACTCCAAGCAGTAGACAGCTTTCTGTAGATCCTCCACTAACCCCACAATCCCTCACTGCCACAGCACGGCCAGTTACACTTGAATCTCAGACACAGCCGATCATCATGAGACCAATGCCACTTGCACAGACCCCTTCGCCACCTGCACCTACAGGATCACCTGTCTCAGAGCCCCTTAATCTCCATGACCCCAGGCCAATCACACCTGAGGCTTCACCTCCAGACAACTCTTCTAGTCATTGTGTACCTGATGATATAACCATGGGTTCACCTCATGAGTTATCACATGAGTTAGCCCATGAGTTATCCCATGAGTTAACCCATGAACTACCCCATGATTTACCCCATGAATTACCCCAACAACCACTGCAGCAGCAACTGCCACTGCCACCATCTAGCGATAATAATGGTCATCCAAGTTCCATTTGCACCCCACCAGTTCCTGAAACACCATCTTCAGACCAACCACCTGACCAACATCCGATTGAGAATGGTTCATCGTCCCTTTCGGTTCCAAGTCCGAGCTCTGCTGATGATGACATAGAGATGAAGAACAGTCCCAGTATCCTGTTACAGTCTGCTGACAAACATAAATCACGACGGAAACGTTCCTTAGAAGATATCATCAGTAAAATCCGAGACAGTAGCTATCCTGGCAAGGAGAACGAAGACCTCCTGCATCATGTTAAAGAGGGTCGCTTTTTTGCTGAAGAAGGGGAGGAGCTGATGCAACATATCAAGGAAAATAGCAGTCTGAGCAGTGAAGAAAGTGAAGAAGATCCTGTGAATGAATCCTTAACTATTGATATGAAGACTGTTGAAGAAGAAGATAACAAATCTTTGGCCGATGACAGCAGACAAATGATTCCTATGTCCACATGCTTTCCAGAAAAGAAGGATCATGAGTTACACCCCCCTCTCAACATTCCAGAGCATGCAAAAATCACTCACAATGCAATTGATCTCTTGGCTTCCAATAGTGGTGATACTGCTTTTCCACACCCTGCTTTGATGCCTTCAAAGTTGAATGGGTGGTTACACTCCCCTTTCAATGGTCTTGGTCCGCTTCCCTTTCCAACTCATCCTATGGACCGCAATTTGGCAGCTCGATACCTTCCAGTCTTTGCTAACAAATTTAGCAGTCCAACTGAAGGAGAGAAGGACTACCTTAAATGTCAGTACTGTGAGAGAACATTCCGTCGACAAAAGAACTTAGAAAATCACATTGAAAATACCCATCATGGGAAAGGACCAAATAACACCAAACGAAAGTCGGGAGACTCTGTGCAAGGGGATATGTACTTTAAATGCACACATTGTCCTTACACAACCAAACATCAAAGCAATCTTTATGTCCATCTGCGGATTCACACGGGTAGGTCTTTCTCACACTTATTCTGTTCACTCTCTATTTTTTGTCTATATGTTCACCTGTCTTTGCACTGTGCACACATTGCCATTAAAAGAATTCACTTATTTACCATATGTTTGATATATATATATATATATTGCTGTCTACAGTTATGATGTCGAATACACTTTTAATTTCTTTAACTCCAACTTCCAAAAATCATACATATATTTCTTTCAAATAAGCTTTTTATTGTATTTGTTTATTTTCTGATTTTTTAAAGCATGCACTATTTTTAAGCCTATCTATTGGAATCCTTTATTAATGTGTGAATCTATGTGTATATGTATACATTCACTCATAAACTTACTCATAGATGTTGTACATCTATATGTACTGTTTAAATTGTTACCTTTTTGCATGTTGGTTACTCAGTAATTAAATTCCACAATATTTTTATGCCGATTTATTGTTTTAAAGGAAGTAAGACATAACTACACAAGCCTTTTGCTCCTCATGTGTATATTTTGTCTTGTTTTGAATTTCACACATTTTTCAGTGCTGTGGGAAGAAGTAGATAATGATCACAACTGTCAAACTTCTAGTACATTAAATCATGTTATGTGTTAGGTGTTATTTAATCTGTGAATAACAATTTCATTTTGATAGAATTCCATTTTTTGGGGGGTGTAAATTTGGTCACAGGTTTACTTGCTTTTTGTTTTTCCCATCAATTGCTGCCAGAATAAAGAAATGTATTTATTTTTTTAGAAACAAAAACAAGTTTTATAAAGTCGCAAATGTACCCTTTCCTGACATATCACTTATTTGTTCTTGCATGTAATCAGAGAAAAACATATTCATTTTCTCTTACATATGGGTTTGCTATCTCACATTTTTTTTCTTTGCAATTCATTTTGCTGATATCATCAAAACGTTTTCAGATCCCCATACTAACAAATATTGATTTGTTCTCAAATTTGTATCACACTTCGTATCTTTTATTCAGTTATTCTTGTAATTTTTGATCATGTCATAATCACTTTTGTGTTGCTTGATAGCTTTCAAACAGATTTTTTGTGAGGAAGATGTCTTTATAGCTGTTGATAACTAACTTCTCAGATTTTTATCCTATACTGAAATGACCATGATTATACAATATACAATTTGTATTTATCTCTTTGGGTTTTATATTGATTCTTTACAGTACCCTCATGTCTTTAATAATACCCAAAAGCAAGCACAAAACAAGCCATTTTAAAAAAAAATGTAATCAGAATATGAAAATCTTTCTTTTTTAATCTTTAATCAGCATTTCTTTTCTCCGACTTTATAATCACACACTAGGATGTTTTTGTAAGCATATTTTGTCTTATACAAAATAATTAGAAAAACAAAACAATTTCATCTTAAATTTCCCCACTTCTCATGTTTTACCTTATTCTCTATAGGAATTGAAAAATTCTTAAGTATCTTATTGTTACTGGATATTAAAAATAATAATTAATATATTATCAGTATGACTAAATCAGATAAATGAAACATTTCAATTATTTTTTATAAGGAGCACAATTTTTTTTAGTTGGCCTCAAGATGGGTACATCTCATATTTCTCCATTTTAGATTGCAGTTAGATCATAGATCACTATACATTCTACTGTTACAGGTTTCAGATGGCTTTTTACAAAGTGAAAGACAGTATTTATCACAAAAAGCAAAGCACTGACGAAAACAACAAAAAGATATTGTCAGCTATTTAGAAATATAGCAGAATTAAATAGAAAAAGAGAGAGGATAATTGCTATACTCTTTTGTAAGTCTTATTTAAAAATTAATTAATTTTTCTTTTATGAACTATTTAATATTCTCCTGACAGCACCTGAGGATTATGCTTTCTTTCAGTATTATTCTGATGTTTAACTATATTTAAGTCATTTTCTTTATTTAATTTCTAATCATAATTTATATTATTGAATTATATATATATTGATCTCACCATCAGATTTTTTATGAATCAGTTTTATTTGATTCTAGATTTTTTTGTTCTCAATTTCTCTCTCTCTCTCTCTCTCTCTCATTTGTATTCAAAACTAAGCTTTTTAAATTTAAAATATTGTATTAATGACACAGCACAAATAGATAAGACCTGAGTCTTAGACAAACATGCTTCCTTTTTGCTTTTCACTTCAACTGAATATGTTTTACAATAGAATTAAAATTATAATTTCATTGCTATTGTATACGGACGGCATGTGGTTACACAAAATAAAAGATGCACTGATCCATTATGAAAAATAGGACACAATTTTGACAATACCCCCAAAAGTTCTGATATTGCAAATTTAGTACTCTTTTGTATTTAAACAGCGACTAAATCCAACACCCTTCCTACAACATCTGTCGACTCCTCCTCCTCTTCTCTGATTTCAGTTTGAAATATGCAAAGCAGACAATGTTTCAGAAATTCCTTTTTCGCTTGAACATGAAAGAATCATTTCTTTCTTTTGAGTAAGAAAAAAATTTGAATTTGAAAAGTTCAATTTGAAAATATTAAAAAAATTATCATGAACTTTGAAGTTGATCCTCTTTTCTATTTAGACTGGCTATAGTAATAAGTTATTTAGCTAATATTCCTCCCATTCTGCAGTTTTCTCCTTGATTTAAATTTTACTACAATACTCAGTAAGATTTCTTCAAAGAAAATAGTTTCATAAATTTACTATTATTCTCCTTCATGGATTAAATTTTAATTTGAAATTTGAACTGGAAATTTCTCCCTTTGAAATAAAGATGACATAATCCCAATCAATAAGCAAGCAACTTTAGTAATGAGCCTGGCAATAAATAGCAGTGGTGGTGGTAGCTGGCTTGATTCCACTGCCTGCCTGTCTCACTCAGTGGCTGGTTGGTTAGATGCTTGGCATGGGAGCTCTTTTATTTTTATTATTTGTATAAAAAAAAAAAATCTTTTCTTTATTTTTTGTTTCTTTGATAATGCATCTGCTGCTATTCTGCACTAAGCATTGATCTGAGACACAGATATACACCAATCTCTGCACTAGCCTATTACTTGTGTATCTGAAATTGAAGCTGAATAGTTCATTTAGAAGTTAGGATGGAGATGCTGATGTATGTGAAGAGAGAGCGTGATTGGTTGAATTAGAATCAGAAGGAGGAGAAGGAGTAATATTGGTAGGAGGGGTATCATGCTAAAACAACAGTACTACTATTTACACTACTGCTATCACCACCACTATAACCATCATTGCTTATTCTTTGTAACTATTACCATCATTTGTTACATATTTATATAGATATATAGAAGTGAGAGAGATTACTTATAATGAAATTTCTATTTTTATTTGATTTGATTCTAAGTGTTCAAATACAGATCAGCTGAACCTGAATCAAAAAGAATGCTGACTGAATCATTTGTACCTAAATGAGTTAATAAATAAAATCAAATTTATTTTTTCATGGTATGCATCTCATTTATTTTTGACAATTTTACCAGATTTAATTGTAATATACAGGTAACTTTTTACCTACTTGTATTTTTTTTATTTTTCCAAATAAACTTTATGTAAATTTTAGACAGTTTTTCTTTAATATGTTTTTTAGAAATTAAAATTGTGTCAAAACAGAAAGTGCATTATAAACTCTTTTGTTGAAGAAAAATAGATTTAGAAAAAATTTAAATTTTTTCTTCTAAAGTGCTCTATGAAATTTAGGACAAAATTAGATCTATCCATTATGGAAAAGGGTTTACACTTATTTAAATAAAAAATTGGGGTAAATTTGTAATATTTATTATGTAGAATATAAGCAGAATGAATTATTTGGAATTCATGAAATAACATTCTCATTTATTTAGAGGAAGCACCAAATTAAAATTATAACTTCTCAAATATGCAACAACCAATTCTTGTAAATAACTTTATTTAATCCGATCTAGAATTATTCTGTGGGACACATTATTTTCTTTGAAGAAACTGCACATGTGTATTCATTTTTATTTGTATGAACACACACACACACATACACACTTTGTGTGTATATGTGCATCTGTTCCAGTTCTTGTTATTTCCTTTTACTACTTAAGGTTTTTTTTAAATTTCTAATTGGCAAACTGCACTATGGTTTTATTAACACACTCTCCAGTGAATATGATCAGTTCAGTTACTCTTTATGTGTTTTTAATATTTTTTTAACCTTTACTGTTGCCGCATGTTTAAATGATTTTCACTCAGCTTTCTACTTCACAATTTAGAATTTAATATGCTTGTTACCCACTCCTTATCTGGTGTCTGCAGTATTCTTGATTGCCACAGCAGGAAGAACAGATATTTTTAATTGCAGTTAATATTCTATTTATTCTATGCTTTATATTATTTTGTTATTGACTAGTAAAGCTTCTACTTTTAAATTACTAAGAGCTTCCCCCATAAAAGAACTTCTAAGAAATAAGAAATAAAAAAGAATGAAGGAACTCTCATCCATTCAACTTAAATTAGCCTATCTTTGTTAGTAATGGTACTTTTATTTTTATTTTTCATCATTTAAATAAAAAATAATACTTGAGAAATTGAATATTTCATTATATTTGTTCTTTGAGTCATTAAAAATTTACTTTCTTGAGAATTTTTACTATAACCCAACTGTATATAATTAGGAAGATTTTTTTTTTCCTTTAAGAGTGAAAAATTTGAAGTAATTAAAACCTGAAATATCATTCTAAACTTTGGTTGATTTACAATTTATTCCTCTGTAAATATTTAGCAGTAACATCAAGTTTTGCCTTCATCTATTCTTTATTTGTTGGTGCAACTATTTTAGGAAATTAATATCTCTTGATGCCATGACAATTGCCTGTTCAAATATTTATCATCTTTGGCTAAAATCTGTTCTGGATAATTCAGCTATGTGAGATAATCTTGAATAATCAAAACTGAATTGTTTTCAATACTCTCAACTCAAACCTAATGTCTTCAAGTAATCATATTAAGAGCTGATTTATTATCTAA